GTGGTAGTAGCAGTAATTATTCCAATCTTGCAGACGAGGAAAATGAGGCATTGGGAAGTTATATCAAAGTTTGAAATGGTAGAGCCAGAATCAGAACTTTGTTCATTAGGTGCTCCTAATTACTATACTCTACTGTCTTCAAAAGTTAAAAAAAAAAGTGGTGTTTAGACTTTAACCCTAACCTTAAGTCACACAAATTAAGGATATTTACAAATGAAAGTCAAACACAAGAAGAAGGAAATGATCTGTTGTTTAATGTCTTTAGTATGTTAGCCAGAAGGCTAACTAAATATCTACAGAGGGCAGGGAATGGTCTTATCATTTTGTTAAAAAAAATCTGTTAGCCGTAATTGGAAATCAGGCCCTTCTCAAGAACAGGCCTTCTGATAACTGGATTGATGTATTCAATCTCATTTCTGACATTACTCTTATTGATAAAACTATTATTTCCCCAAACAATTCATATCAGCAGCAGAGAAAAAAAGCATACATGCAAAACCTACATCACAAACACTAAGAAAAAGCAGTAATGTGTTTATAAATGGAAGAGAAGGATAATATTAGAAGTGAAGACACAGTTAACAGTGCCTATTGAAATGAAATGAATGTCTCTCTCCTCATTTATGAATTGTGATCTTTGGTAATAAGCCTAATTGGTCAAAAAGAAGGGGCAGTGATTGTATGTTTACTATTCAAACAGTGGTGTCTTCAAAATCAGTTTGTAAGCCTCACTTTTTCAGTCGCATAGTATTGTGTTGGCCAAAAAGTTTGTTTTATTCCATAAGATAGCTCCAGTAGCACTCAGTTGTCTTCAACTTCATTCAAAACAATTCTGTTAGGTTGTATTGTGACAGCTGGCATATCAGAGTGCATTAACAAACAAACAAACAAACAAAACAAAAAAACCCCCACACACTTGCCTGGCTGATGTGGCTCAGTGGATTGAGCCCCAGCCTGTGAACCAGAGTCAGGGCACATGCCTGGGTTGTAGGCCAGGTCCCCAACAGCGGGTGCACATGAGAGGCAACCACACATTGATGTTTCTCTCACTCTCTTTAAAAAAAATAATAAATCTTTAAAGAAACTTATCAAAATTGGTGAATTTTTATGTAGCCATTTCAATACTGAAGATAGAAGAAAATGAGCAACATTTTCAGCATATTATGCTTTCTTATTAAAAGAAAGGTAAAAACTCAACTGAAACAAAAAAAGATCTGTGCAGTGTATGAAAAAAGTGCCATGACTGACTGGACCCATCAAAAGTGGGTTGAGAAGTTTATTACTGGAAATTTCTCAGTGGATGATGCTCCGCCTGCTAGACTGGTGGAAGTTGATGGCAATCAAATCAAGACATTACCTGAGAACAATCAAGGTGATGCCATACAGGAGATAGCCGACATACTCAAAATATCCAAATCAATAAAGTTACAGGTGAAAATGAAAAATGTGTCTTACATTTTACAGAAAAAACTAAATAGACCTTTTGGCCAATCCAATATGACAAAAGTGCTAGTATCTACCATGTGTAGAACACAATATGCTAGGAAGTATTCGTTAAACAACTATTTTTAAAAACATATATTTCATTTATTTATTTTTACAGAGGGGGAAAGAGAAAGAGTGGAAGAGAAACATCAGTGTGTGGTTGCCTCTCACATATTCCCCACTGGGGACCTGGCCTACAACCCAGGCATGTGCCCTGACTGGGAATCGAACCAGTGACCCTTTGCTTCACAGGCCTGTGCTCAATCCACTGAGCCATACCAGCCAGGGCATAAACAACTATTTATTGATCTCCTACCACTATTTCAGGAGATAGGGGTAAGGTGGTGAAAAAAGGCGAAGACTCTATTTTCATAGAGCTTAGGCTGTAGACAGGTATTATAAAGAAAAAATTAAGGATCAGTTCCCAGGTCTGTCAGACTCTAAAGCCTACACTGTATATTTCAAGTGTATCATCTCTCACTGGCAAGATACAGCAGCTTCTCCTAAAAGCCCACACCTAAGTATGCAGTCCCAACACTACTGTCTAAAACAATTTAGTGTTTCTCTCAGGTTTTTAAAAAAGATTTTATTTATTTATTTTTAGAGAGAGGAGAATGGAGAGAGAGGGAAAGAAACACCAATCAGTTGCATCTGTTAAGCACCCAACCGGGGACTGAACCTGCAACCCAGGTATGTGCCCTGACCAGGAATCAAACCTGAGACCTTTTGGTTTGAGGGATGACACCCAACCCACTGAGCCACACCAGGCAGGGCAGGGTTTCTCTCTGTTGTCAGTCCAGTGTCACTTTCACAGTGAAGTGTTCATTCCCTAACTCCCAAGAGCAAAGATTGCTCCATCAGCAGTTAACACATCACGTTTATGTATATGAATTTCTTTTCCTCTCTCATTAGTACCCAAACAGAGCAACAAATACGTTTTGGCCTCTTTGTAAGTCTAGAAGATGGCACATATAGTAGGTATTCAATAAAGGGCTGAGTGGGGCTCATGAGAGCAATTGCAATAGAGTTGAGGGTAAGTGCCAGACTGCAATAAACAAAGGAGTAAGTGGAAGAAAAGGGCAGGTAATGGTAGTACTCTGAAGGAGAAATGTGATCACAGGAAGTTTTTCAAGAATGAGGAACTTAAACATACTCGTTGGTAAGACAGTACAGCACATCAGAAAGAGCAGGGGTGGCAGACCAGACCTGAAGTTGAATTCTGGCCCTGTCGCCATAACTGTGGGCAATTTATGGAACTCCTGTACTTCAGCTTATACATAAAATGAGACTAACACCTACACCTCACAGTGACAATTACAGCACATGGCAAACAGAGGACATTCAATAAATGTTACTGATGATTATTACTGTATGCAGAAGTCTGGACTTCAGTGTTCTAACTCTTCCTTATAGCTTGTGCTTCAGTCTCGATTTCCTGTCTCACTGTGTGTGTGCTGTGTGATGGCAAAGAAACAGGTTTCTTATTTCTTCTGTGGGTACCACCTCCTGTGCTATTATTCCCTTTCTTTGTGACAGTCTGCATGAGTTCATGAATGGTCGCTATGGAAAAATCACTGATGTCACCAGCTGAAGAACAGAGCTGATCTGGAGACTAAGTAGATGAAACTGATGTTAAATCATCAAACATACAAGATTTTGGGCTTCTGCCAAAACTCTCATTGAGAGCTATGAAAAGAGAGATGGGAAATACAAACAGAGAACATTGCTGATAAGCCAACAGGTGTTCCCAGCCTCCACTCCAGGCACAGAAAGATGGCCATACTTTTGTAAGAGACGATTCTCGCCTGAGTTCCTCTCTCAATATTTCACCCTAAAGTCAGGTTCATTTCTGTGAGGTACTACTCTAGTTTATGGACTTTTCTGTCAACCTGACAAGAACCCAAATTCACAAGGTTACTGTTCTCTTTTTATATTTAAACTACTTTTGTTCACAAGCCTTTGTAATGCTCTGGTCATGGGTCACACACACCTGTCACCCATGTCTGGTCAATGGAAACGACACCCCAGCCCTGCTCTCCCAGATCACACATCTCCATGTTTCTTAAAAAGGGGAACAGATGCCCGCTGCTGTAGCTCAGTGGATTGAGCACAGGCCTGCGAACCAAACGACTGCGGTTCGATTCCCAGTCAGGGCACATGCCTGGGTTGCAGGCCAGTTCCCAGCAGGGGATGCGTGAGAGGCAACCACACATTGGTATTTCTCTCCCTTTCTCCTTCCCTTCCCCTCTAAAGATAAATAAATAAAACCCTTAAAAAAGGGGGGGGGGCAGAAAGTGGACTAAAGCCCAGGCTAGCGCAACAATTAGCAATAAAAAGGGCATGTGTGCTAAGGATTGTCAGAAGATGGGAAAGATATCGAGCTGTGTTTAGAATCAATTAAAAACTAGTCATGGAGCACAGAAATAATCTATGTAATACACAGAAGGTATACCTAATACCTATTGTTTAGAGTTCAGAGAGACCTGGAAATAAGAAATGATGGAAAAGAGAAGCAGGAAATATAATGTGTATCTGTAAATAATCATGAATATAATCACAAAAGTTACAAGTAAACAAGTCAAAGTTGAAAACTCAATTTTCTTTTTTTTTTCAGTCTTATTATGAACTTGAATTTAGAAAGAATAAGACAAAAAGGTAAAAAAAATATTCCAGGACACCTTTAAATACCCCACCAAAAAACCCAAACCCACCGCAATCTCTTGTGCAGCAGAAGACTGGAAAACATGTGACAGTCATCTGTCACTGAAAACAAACTTTTAAACACCCCACCCCCGCATATAAGAAGCACCCTGGATTATTAAACGAAGTATGAGAATAATTCCCCACATTCCAATCTGAATCACACTGGGCGATCCTGGTACACACGCCTCGATTTCCGCAACATCACAGTGTTCGGAGCCCCGGCCTGAGTCTCGCCCTGTGTTCGGAACTGACCCGCACCTTCAGTGCAGTGACAGGTACATCTGAAGGGTTCGCTGCTCTAAGTGTGCTCAAGGCTGCCATCCTTTCCCAAAAATAAAATAAAATAAGCCCCACGCCCCACCCGCATTTGGTGCAGTTTCTGTAAAACTGCTCTGAGACGCCGGGGAGGGACATGTGTGTTTGGGCTCGAGCCCCCCAGGCACTTAAGCTGGGGCGCGGGCAGCCCCCACCTCCCATGAGGTCAGGCAGCGCCACCGGCGGGGGCGGGTCCCCGCCTCCGGAGGCCGCCACCTCCCCCAGCGGGGGACGTGGGGGCACACGGGTCGGAGCAACGTCCCCGCCCCGGAGGCTGCGTACCCAGGTGCGAGAGCCGGAGCCAGGCCGCCACCAGCCGGGGCCCCAACCCCCGCATCGCACCGGAGAGGCAGGTGTTCTCCCCTCCTCTGCCAGACCTCCGCCCGACCGTCTGTCAGTCTGTGGGTCAGTTTGTCCACAGCCGCGAGGAGCAAGTGCGGGCCCCAGGCGCGGCAGACCCAGCTAGTCCCACTAACCACTCGCTCCTCCGCACTTACCTGCCCCACAGGAGCTGTCCAGCTGCCCCGCCGCCGCTACCCCCCGCCGCCTCACGCCAACTGGGGTCGGGCTCGCGGCACAGTTGCTCCGCAGTTAGAATCCAGTCAGCGCACGGGGGCGACACTGCGCACGCGCGAGGTCCCCGCAAGCGGGCCGCGGGGCGTGCTGGGAGCTGAAGTCCTCCGACTCTGATGGGCGGGAGCTGTATGGTTTTCGCGCCCCCAAGCCTGGCTCTTTCCTGAGCTTCCTTTCAGAACCGAACAACCTTTGAAGCCCATTTTCACCCCATCAGTGTGCACCGGCTTCCCGTCTGCATTTTGGGTAACATGAGGTAAATGCGCGATCAGAATGGGAGCCAGACACGGTGGGCTCTGGAAAGAAGCGGCACTTGATGTTAATTTTCTGAAAACTTAAGTGCCTTCTTTAAGGCTGCACATAACCGATGCTGAACCAGATTGAGCCACTCTCACACAATTCACAAGCCTTGGAAGGAGCCCCAAACTGGAACAGATTTGTTGTTGAGGTCATGCCCAGGAAATGCACTCTCTGGGCATAACGTAGTGGGGTGTAGTCAGGCCTGCATCTGAGTCACTAAACCACGCTAACATTTAGCTCATCTACGAAATGAGAATGTGAATTTATGGTTGTGAGAAAATGTTAATGCACGGTGCCAACTAACTTCAAAAAGGTGGCGGACCCATCATTTTTCGATATCCCTGTTCTAGTTGACATCAAGCCTCTAGTTTTGGGGGGGGCACCCTGCTTGATACATTAAAGAAAGGTCTCCAAAAGTTACAATAGTATTACAGGAAAGTTCTAGAAATTTCACCTTCCTCTGAAGTGTTACACATTTAGTTTTAGAGCTGCTTATTAACCTGAGCACGGATTCCAATTCCCTCGGAATTCCTAATGGAATTCCAAGGTGGTGGCGATTCAGCCCAGGGTGAATGAATGGGAACCACAGGCAAACCCTACAAACACAGGAAGGCAGTCTCAGTCATCCTACTGTTTTTATGCTCACTTTACTTTCACATGGTTCACAACACTCCTGTGCTGAAAGCAGGGCAAATTTGATAATTTGAATTTTACAGAGGACCTGGCCAAAATTATGAGAACTATGAAGTGGCAGAGGAGAGATCAGAACCCAGTTTCTGTGGCCAACTTCATTTTTCTCCCAATCACATTCAGGGGATATATTTTTAAATTTATATTTTGGGGAAAACAATTTTTTGAAGATTTTATTTCTTTTAGACAAAGGGGAAGGGAGGGAGAGAGGTATCAATGTGTGCTTGACTCTCACGCACCCCCAACCTGGGACCTGGCCTGCAATCCAGGCACATGCCCTGACTGGAAATTGAACCAGTGACCCTTTGGTTTATAGACCAGCACTCAATCCACTGAGCCACACCAGCCAAGGCAGAAAATTAATTTCTTGAGATGGTTGTAAGGTAAGCTGAGGTGTCAAAACTCAATGGCTGAATAATGCTAGTTTCAACATAGGCCCCTTTGGTTTTTGCAATAAAACATTAGCATTTCATTTTTGCCTACTTTCCCTAAGACTTAATCCTCCCCACCCCAAACACACACAATCCAGTGGAACACTTGTCAGAGATCAACACGGGGCAGGTCCAGAGGCCACAGGAGACAGAATACAAATACTTCCTTTTTAGGGGATGATAGACTAGCTACCAATTTGATGAAAACTTTATTTGTAAATACTGTGTAAGAATTCTACATACACATTTAGCCTCCATTAGACAACAAAAGTGATGAAGAAAAATGCCAAATCCTTAGATTACTAGGACAGCAGTACCCCAGGCAAAGCCCCTATCAATTCATGCCACGTGAAGGGTGGTTGGAGAGCCAGGTGTACTGAAGTAATTCAGCTGAGCACACTGCAGGTGGGAAAAGCACCTGTCTCATGATGAATAATGAATTACAAGATGCTAAAACCAAGCAAAGCAGTGTGAATTTGTTGAAGTTACATCTCAGGAGCACTTTTTAAAAATTGATTGTAGAGAGATAGAAGGGAGGGAGGTAGAGAGAAACATCGATCTGTTGTCCTACTTGTTTATTGCATTCATTGGTTGATTCTTGTCACTGGTTGATTCTTGGATGTGCCCTGACCAGGGATGCTTGGTGTATCAGGACGATGCTCTAACTAACAGAGCTACTTGGCCAGGGCTTCAAGAGCACAGGGCTTCTCAGTGGAGCTTAATGAACTTTACATGTGTTCAGATGCTGGACTCTGTATGTCCCGTTATGAGGAGCCATTTACCCCTTTGTGCAGTCTGCTGCCTGCTCTGGGACCACAGCCCCAAGAGGGCCGCCTGTCTCACTCATTACTGTTCCTAGTACACAGTAGGGTGCCGGAAAAAAATACCTGTTCAAGTATGAAACCTGGATGAGAAACAAAGTATTTTTGTAAACACTTATTTCTTCCAGGTTACCCCTAAAGAAATGAAGCTTTCTACATGTGAAGCATAAATATATTATTTTACCCTTTTTAAAAAAATATATTTTATTTATTTATTTTTAGAGAGGGGACGGGAAGGAGAGTTGGGAGAGAAACATCAATGCGTGGTTGCCTCTCGTGTGTCCCCCACTGGGGGCCTGGCCTGCAACCCAGGCATGTGCCCTGACTGGGAATTGAACCAGAGACCCTTTGCTTCACAGGCCAACACTCAGTCCACTGAGCTACACCAGCCAGGGCTACCCTTTTTTTCTTGAAAAAAATGAGCACCTTATTTGAGGGAACTACAGAATGAATCCTTCTGAGATCTTTGGATTTCTGCATTATACGTTTTGAATATACTTGGCCCGTACTCTTACAACCAGCATTATCCTAATTAAAGACAGGTGTCCTATTAAAGTTTAAAACCATGGAAGAGGAATAACACCTTCCCATTGTTTAAAATGTCTCAGTGCCCTAGAGCCACAGCCGTGAAAGGCTAGTTCACTCCTGGGGAGAAACTGGTTTGCCGCCCTCAGGGCTCCTCTCCTTCCTAGTCTCACATGTGACCTCTTAAAACCACTATTCAGTATCAGCTTATTTCCTTGCAGGGACTGGCTACAGGATTTCTCAAAGATGCCTTCAAACCCCTCCCACCTATCCTGCCTGGGCTGGGATGTTGCCAAACCACAATTTCTGGCTCTCTATTGAAAAGGAAGTCCTAATACCTTCACAGATACAACTGGCAGAACCAAGCACACGTCAGAAGCTGAAAGGGCAGGTTGAACCTTGTTTTCCTAAGGACAAGGGCCTTCTTATACCAGGAGCTACAGAGGGCCTCTTGTTTCTATCCACCCACTCATTTCTCATTTTGTCTTCGTAGTCACCTGCAGGTCACTTGTCTTCTTACATGCTCATCTTGAAATCTGGACCAGAAACCTGCTGTTCCCTCTTGAGTTTGGACTTTTCATGAAGACAAATTCACACCCACACTCACCACTTAAAACTACTTTTTTCAGGATTCTGGCCTCTCAGAACTTTTCTGTACACAGCACTTAATGAGGTAAGGACAAGGTCACACAGATCCAGAATGGAAGAACCAAATTCTGCCTTGACTTCCAGTTACATTCAAAATTAGCTAAATCGATGAGCTAGATTTTATGTTCATTAGACCATGTCTTTGATAAAGAACATACCTTAGATAATATATATGAATTCCAGTACTCAAAAAGTGGTGACTAAATGTAATTTCTATTCCAAATGGGATCTTGGAACACAGAAATGACATTAGCTAAAAACTAAGGACTTGCCCTGGCTGGTGTAGCTGTGGATTGAGCATGGGTTGTGAACCAAAGGGCCGCTGGTTCAATTCCCAGTCAAGGCACATGCCTGGGTTGCGGACCAGGTCCCCAGCGGGGGCCATGTGAGAGGCAACTACACACTGATGTTTCTCTCCCTCCCTTCCCGCCTAAAAAGAAATAAATAAAATCTTTTAAAAAACAAAGGGCTTTAATAATGTATCAATATTGGTTCACTAATTGTGACACCAATACCATACCGATGTATTAATAATAGAGGAAACCAGATATGGGGTATATGGGAACTCTCTGTACTATCTTTGCAATTTTTCTGTAAATCTGAAACTTCTAAAATGTAAAGTTAATTTAAATAAAAATTGCATAAAAACTTGAAAAGTACACAAAACACAAAGAAAATAGAAATCACCTTAAACTCATTACCCTTAGTATTTCATTATGTAGCTTTCCAGACTTTTAAACTTTTTTCGTTTTTCCTATTTAATTTTTGACTCATTCCCCGATCTCTGGTTGGTTCCAGCTCAAGATATACTGTCATCCACGGCAGGCAAACCGAGCCGACAGCAGCACCCTCCAGTCTCAGGCTGCTCCCTGACTGACCAGAGAGGAAGGGTGATGTCCCCTCCTGGGTTCAGAAGAAAAATGACACGTGCTATGTGATTTCAGTCACTTAACCATCACAGCCATCCAGGATTTACGCCACCTTCTGGAGCTACCTAGTCTGTGCTCTCACTTGTCATCAGGCTCACCTGGTTATTAAATGAAATCTTCCATCAGCCAGGGAAAAAGGGCAGTAAGTGTCCAGGTCCCTGAATGCCACTGAACTGAAGCCATTCATCCCTCAGTTTGTCCAACCCCTGATTTCTGGATGATTCAGATCCTGGAGTGTCCATCACTAGTTAACTGATTTCAACCTAATCTGCTAGAAGGTATGAATGTTCTCTCTTCTCAGCCAACATTCAGCCGACCCAAATGCCTTTAATTAAAATGTTAAAAAGGAAAATAACAAAATTGCACTTATATCACTAATATATAAAAATGACAGTGGAAAAGAAACACACAACAAACCGATACAACCAGGATTACCAGTCAAGAGTTCAGAAGTCTAATGTGACTGTCAGAACAAGACTGTTAACCTTGTGTTTCCTATGAGGACAGTTATGAACTGAAATCCATGGCATTCCGTATGTCTGGCGTGTCTACCACATAATATAAGTTCTCTGACTACAGCTACACTGACGAAAGCTCGCTTCCTCTCACCTGGCCCATACTAGAGAAGGGGGGGGGGATGCTGGAGCACAGCCCAGTGACTTAATTCCTTGTGCCAGACCCGATTTAAACATCCC